TTACAATAGAAAATGGTTTAGGTATAAAACTTTGGACTCAATATAGGATAGATAATACAATAATGTCTCTGAATTTGCCAAATACATATATGTACTAAACATTGTGAATGTAATTCTTACTTGATAATTGTTCTTATTGTATATAGTTTTACTAGGCTAGAGTTAAAACCTTTCCTTTTTATTTAGACAAAAGAGGGAAATGTGGGATATTTGTGCACTGTGTGAAGAATATTGCCATTGATTGGTTTAATAAAGAACTGAATAGCCAATAGCTAGGCAGGAAGTATTAGCAGGACTTCTGGGCAGAGAGAGGAAATAGGAGATAATCAAGGCACAGAGGAGATGTCAATGAGACATGGAGAGAGTTGGATATACAGAATGAAAGAAAGGTAAAAAGCCACATGGTAAAACATAGATTAAAAAAAGCTGGCGAATTTAAGTTGTAAGGGCTAGTGGGACAAGCCGAAGCTAAGGCTGCACTTTTATAATTATCAAGTCTCCATTTCATTATCTGTGAGCTGGTGGCCCAAAGGAAAGTCTGACCACACTTTACTCAATGATCTATCTCCCCAGCCCCCTGATGTGGAGGCCTCCTTAATTTTGTGGGCATGTAGTGCCTTATCTATTGGTGGTGTTTGTAAATTTAACATGCATACACTCAAACTCATCAGGATTGTGTTTTTCCTCCAGCTTGCCTTTCTGGGAGAAGGAGAAGGCCAACAACTTGAAGAATGAGATCAAAGAAGTCGAGGAGCTGGACAATTGGCAGCCACCACCACCCTTTCTACACAGTTTTTTCTCCTCTGGTAGGTTCAAGAAATCTCAAAAAATGATAAAACCTGGAGTTCAGAAGAACAGTCTTTTGGGAGGCTTCATTTGGAGCTCAGAGATGGCAGAGCCTCTCCTGGAGTGGGTGTTCTGCCTCAAGGGGTCCTCTGGGCAGAGGTCCCCACCATGCATTGAGCATTGAATGTGTTGGTTTAGAGCTGTTGGGCTTGTAAGGGAACACACTCTTTAATGCTGTACCTCTATCCACAGGTGCTTCAAACTTTCCAAGACATCCCTGAGCAGAAATGAGCCCCCAAGCATGCACTGACTGACCTCCAGCCAGCCTCTGCCATTGCTGGGTTTTTCTAGTCTTTGTTTTTGGCATTGTCTCTGTCCTAAACCAGTTATCTGACTCTAGTGAGGGATCACTATGATTTGCCTTGTTTAACTGTCAACTGTGAAAACTTGCAAAATGTGTAGAGAAGTTGCACCAACCATAAAGTAGACACCAGCATATCTTTCATCTAGATTCTACCATCGACAGCATTTATCCCAGTTCTCTCTCCCTCTCCCTTTCCCTCTTACTGGTTTCTGACCCACTTGAGAGCTAGTGACACACATCATAATCCTTTACACCTTCAGACCTCATACCTCAAGCGTGTGTCTCGTGAAGTGGTGGGTATTTTCTACCCAGGGTATGCAAATTTCCAATGCAAGGTATTTGGCACTGACAGTAATTATATACGGCTCACATTTGGTTTTACTCAGATACATTTGTTTTCTCAAGAATGCTCATTGGTCAGTGGTAACAGGTAGATTCCTCAGACTGCTACGACAGAATACTAGAGATTGGATAGTTTATAAACAAAAGGAACTTCCTTCTCATAGTTCTAGAGGCTGGGAAATCCAAGGCCAAGCTGCTGGTGGATTTGGTATTTGGTGAGGCACTGCCTTCTTACCACTTTCTAAGGGAAAAAGGGTTATTTGGCTCACAGTGCTGGAGGGATCCAGTCGGCCACAGTGGAGAAGACATGGCAGCAGGCAGGGAAGGCACTGTGGTGGGAGCAGGAGGCTGGCTACTCACACTGTACCCACAGTCCAAATGTGAGCAGGAAGAAGGACCAGGGCTTAAAGCCAGGAGGTCTGCTCCAGTGACCCACTTTCTTCCCTGATGCTCCCCTCCTAAAGGATCTAATCTCCTCCTTAAAGACCCCTTGAGAAGAGACCAGCATTACCTTTTACATGGACAGTTCCCACTAAATTGCTTCCCTTTACACCTTGCACTGTCAAAGTCCTATAAAATTTCCTTCCTTCCTTCCTTCCTTCCTTCCTTCCTTCCTTCCTTCCTTCCTTCCTTCCTTCCTTCCTTCCTTCCTTCCTTCCTTCCTTCGACAGGGGTTTTCTGTGTTTCCTGGCTGTCCTGGAACTCAACTCTGTAGACCAGGCTGGCCTCCAACTCAGAGATCCGCCTGCCTCTGCCTCCCGAGTGCCGGGTGGTGGTGATGCAAGCCTCTAGTCAATTTTCCATGTCTTTGTGTCTGTATTAGTTTCATTTCTCATTGCTGTATCAGATGAAGCAACTTAAGGTTTATTTTGGCTTACAATTTGAAGGAATATAGTCTTATCATGTCAGGGAAGGTACGGCAGCAGTACTATAAAGCAGCTGGTCATATTGTATCTACAACTGGGTAAACAGAGAGAGAGGGAGGGAGAGGGAGGGGGAGGGGGAGGGGGAGAGAGAGAGAGAGAGAGAGAGAGAGAGAGAGAGAGAGAGAGAGAGAGAGAGAGAAACGCTGTGCTCAGCTGGATTTCTCATTTTTATTTTACCTATGACTCTAGCCCATGGGATGATATTGCTCACATGCAGGGTGGGTTTCTCTCCTCTGTTAAATATCTCTGGAAACATCCTCAGAAACAGACAATCTTCTAAATCTATCACCACAATATGACCAATCACTACAGGGACCAAGTCATATCCAAACTATAGCAACATTAAACTCCACAACTCCATAAAAGATTTCTATAGCATCCTACAGTATTTTCCAAGTTTTTGGTGGGAAGGATTAGTTTGGTTGGACTGTTTCCTTTGACCTTGAACATTTGGCTCCCAAAAGTTAGGTCAGTGGTGGCACTGTTTACAGAACTTGACATGGCAAAGTATTTTAGAGTTTTGCTCCCAAGGCCATGCAGCAGCTCTTCAGAGACTCTTCTTGCTTTGTTGGACAATCCAGACAATATATCTGAACACATGAACGCCTCCACCTTGACTGAGGAATATGCCAGACATGAGTGGTGCAATTTTTAGTGACCTGATGGGCCAGCTTCCCAGTGGATTTGGAAAAGGATAGGGAAGTCAGAGAGATGGCTGGTGTCCTTCCAATGCAGAGTGATGGTCTGATCGCACACTAAGTATCTGGGAGGCTACTGCTGCCTTGAGTGTCTGTATGCTGAGGCTCCTCCCCGTAAACTCTGTGAGAGACTGGAGTAAAAACAGAGATTTCTGCTAGAAAATGAGGACAGAATGGATGGTTAGAGCAAAACTGCACTAAAATGAGTTCTTTTTAAATGAAATTTCAAATAGAACTCAGAATTCTGTGTTCATATTATCCAGATTCAGCAGCTTAATGTGACCATAAGAGAGAGGACATAGGAGATGGAGGGCCTAAGGGAGCCTTTGGGATGATTTAGCTGTGGGTGAGGGGAGGAAAGGTGGTCACAGGGAGATAGGGCCCTGTGTAGCCCATAGCCCACCATTGTATAATTAGGAAACAAAACATACCTCCTTCTCATTGGGCACAGCTGGGGGATGTACAAGTAAACTGTTTGTAAGCCAAATCTCAACCCCTATTTACCCATTGCTCAGTAAGCTTCCTATATACCCACAAACATCAATCTGGTACTATTTCCTGAAATAAGAAATTCATGGGTAACTACAGGTTTTCCAGGAGAAGTTCAACATCTGTAGTTGGACTTTTCTTTGGGCCACCAACCAGCTTCCAGATAAAGACTCGGAAACTTATTATTAATAATGAATGCCAGGCCTTAGCTTAGGCTTGTCTCACTAGCTCTTTTAACTTAATTTAACCTGTTTCTCTTCATCTATGTTTGGCCTCTGGGCTTTTAACCTTTCTTTCATTTTGTATGTCCTACTTTCCTGCTTCCTCTGTGTCTATCTGTCTGTCTGCCCCTGGTGTCTCTTTTTCTTTCTCCTTTCTTTTCTCCCCTGAGCCTAAATTCCTCCTCATATTTATTCTTCCTGCCTGGAATTTCTGCCTATCTCTCCTTCCTTGCTATTGGCCATTCAGATTTTTACTAGACCAATCAGGTGCCTTAGGCAGGCAAGGTGAGACAGCAACACAGCTTTACATAGTTAAACAGATACAACCCATCTTTACATAGTTAAACAGATACAACCCATCTTTACATCGTTAAACAAATATTTTGCAACAAACATTGGGCAAACTGATTTTAATGTGCCTGCGATACACACTGATGAAAGGGCCTATGATATCGTTGGCATAAAAGTCTGGGGGCTAAGTAGATGCACGTGAAAAAGAAAATCTCTGTGAGACATATGGTTTCGGGGTCTAGTTTTAATGACCAGATTAGGATATTGGTCCCAAACAGAGAATGAATTCAAATGACTCTTGAATCCCTAGGGCCTGAGGAAAAGCAGATTCTCTTTGGGAACACTGTCCCACCTCAGGGCACAGGAAACTCTAGAAATGAGACCCACATTGATGAACTCAAGAGAAAAAAGAAAAACTACAACTGGAACCACGACATGGAAGGGCTGGTAGCTGAAACTCAAGCCAGATTAGGTGACTCAGACTGTTTTGCAGGGACTGGGGAGATGGCTCCACGGTTAAGGGTGCTTGCTGCTCTTCCAGAAGACAAGAGTACAGTTGTCAGCACCCAAGTCGGGAGGCTCACAACCCCCTGTAACTCCAGCAACTTCTTCTGGCCACATCGGATATCCTCACACGTGTTGCACACACATGCACGCACATATACACATAAATAAAAGATAAATCTTGAAGAATGTTTTGCAATATGGTATTAATTACCATGGCAGGGTGCAAGCAATTCATTTTGCAGTAAAGATACTAGGACAGCAGTTTGCCCAGTGACGGCTAATGAGTAAATGAGAGGAAGGGTCTAGGGATGCCAATCTGGGGGTTGGGGATGGAGCTAGAGAGCTTGTCTTAAATTGAGTACACTTATTTGGGGGAGATTATAAGGACTATGGGTGGTGACAATACTCTTCTTAACTATGCCTTGATGTTGCTGTTGACTTTCATCCCTAATTTTAGCCTTTTTCTGTTTAGTCTCTTGGTGTTAAAAGATAGGTGAGGGCTGGCAACATGGTTCAACAGTAAAAGCACTTACCGAGCAAGCCCAGTGACATGATTTTGATCTCTGGAAGCTACTGTGGAAGGGAAGAACCAACTCCTGGAAATTCTCTTCTGACCTCCACATATATGCTATGGCTGCAGCATCCCTCCCCAGTAATAAATAAAATTGAAAATAGTAAAACAAAACAAAACAAAAAACAACAGGTGAGACAGAAACAGATATTTTAGGTATTTTCCTCAGGTAAGTAAATGTCAATTTAGTCAGATCCAGTTCCAGGTGAATATGGTGGCAAAATGGAGAAAGATGTAGCCTAAAATTCCTTTGTAAGTTAGGGAGACCACTAGAGTCTTTCCAGATTTCCTTTGTAAGTTAGGGAGACCACTAGTGTCTTTCCAGATTTCCTTTGTAAGTTAGGGAGACCACTAGTGTCTTTCCCAATTTCTGGACTCTCCCAATTGTGTTTCTTGCATGTCAATAGGTATTATGTGAAAAAGGGTTTCTGCGTCAGATCACTTTGGAAATTCTTTAAAAAAGCAAAGAAGAGCTGGGGAGATGGCTCAGCAGTTAAGAGTGTAAACCATTCTTATAGAGGACCTGAGTTTGGTTCCCAGCACCTACCTGGTAGCTCACAACCGTCTGTAATTCCAGTTCTAGGGCATCTAATACACATGCATGCAAAACACTCATGTGTATCAAATAAAAAGAATAAATCTAAAAAGGAAAAAGAAAAGTATATTATCTTCTAGAGCTGCCATGGCATAAAAAAAGAAAAGTGGGTTCTGGGCTGGAGAGATGGCCCAGCTGTTACAAGCACTGATTTATCTTTTAGAGGACCCAGGTTCTGGTCCCAGCACCCACCCACATGGTGGCTCACAACAGTATGTAACTTCCATTCTAGGGGATCTAAAGCTATCATCTGGACTCCTTGGGTACTGCACAAATGTGCACAGACATACATGCAGGCAAAACACCCATACACATTAAAAAAAAAAAAAAAGTAAAAATCTTTGAAAAAAAGAAATGGATTCTCTCTTGACTGCAGAGCAAGAGTTGGAAAACAAGTTGTTCACAGGGTTGGGTCCTTCTTGGAGATTGAGGGGAAGAGTGCATTTCATGACTCTCTTACCTCTAGTGCAGCAGTTCTCAACCTGTGGCTCACAACCCTTTGGGGGTCGAGTGACCCTTTCACAGGGGTCACCCAAGACCATCAGAAAACACGGATATTTACATTATGATTCATAACAGTAGCAAAATTAGTTATGAAGTAGCAATGAAAATAATGTTATGGTTGGGGGGTCACAACAGGAAGAACTGTATTTAAAGGGTCACAGTGTTAGGAGGGTTGAAAACCACTGCTGGCAAAATTAGGTGCTCTTTGTCTTTGAACCATCATCCCCTACAACTGCCTCATTCTCCACATACTGTTTATGTTGTGTATCCAAGTCACTTCTTTTTCTATCAAGCAATATCTGAATGTTATCTTCAACATTTATGGATATTCATTTTATAAGATTGCTTTCAGCCTATTAGCTGTTTCCAGCAAATGGTTATCATAATACATGTACAAACAGTCATGCATGATTCTTGGGTCAGGAGCATGGAAGAGTAGATAACTCAAAATTACAGCTGTGTGCTGTGGGATCCTTCTGTACACAGTGAATATATATTACTCTAATTGGTTAATAATAAAGCTGTTTGGGCCAGTAGCCAGGCAGGACAAAGTTAGGCAGAAAAACCAAACTGGGGTTGGGGGAGGGAATGAAGAAGGGCGGGTTGAGAGAGTTTCGAGCCAGATGGAGAATGAGTCAGACATACAAAATTAAATGGGATAGAGGTAAAGGCTATGAGCCTCAGGGCAGTACATGGATTAATAGAAATGGGGTAAGTGGTAAGAGCTAATTAGTAATAAGCCCAAGCTAATGGCTGAACATTTATAATATAAGCCTCTGTGTGGTAATTTGGGAAGTGGCTGCCAGGTATTTGGGAACAGGAAGGACAAAAAGCTCAGCCTCCGTTTACATATGGCACTCCAATGTGCTGCATGTTCATCCACATAAAGCCTGAGAAAGCTTAAAAAAAAAGGGGGGGGGGTTCTAGACATACAAAAATGGAGCCAAGAGCAGCTTCTTAGTTCATGTCTTCCATGTGGGCCACAGTGCAGAGACGTGTCCCCTGGCTGCGCTGCGCTGTGCATCTTGCACTGCACCATGGCTGACCACCAGTCTCACACAAGGCGCAGTACAGAGTGCGCAGGGGCTTAGGGCTTTTGCTCACACAGACAAAAGGGGTTAAAGATACACAGTAAAGACGATTCAGACAAAAAGGCCTCTAAACAGGTCACAGTGTGTTTGAAAAATATGTGTAGGCTTGGGGAAGAGGAAAGGTAGAGACGGTTCTATGTTTAAAAAATAATTTAAAAACAATAAAGTCCTTAAAAAAGAAATAGAGTAATAACAAAACTATAAGCCATGTAAAGATGGAAATATACAGAGAGTCTGGATTCTATATTCTATTGTGTTTTCTTTAGATTTTGACGATTAATGGGCAAATTGTAACTACTAAGAGACATTTGATTGCAAAAGGTTAAACCAAACTATGTATTTAAAAAAATCTTGATTCCAAAGTCATAAGGTATGTTACTTTGGGGAAGAGGTTATGTCTTTCTTTCCACAGGAATTGAGAGGCTATGGATTCATTCTAGGTTAAAAAAAGTCAGGTTTGATTGAGGAAGACCCCCTGAACTCCTAACTACAAAAAAATTATGTTTGACTGGCTTATGTACAATGCAGTTTATATTTGTATTAATACAGAGATGTATGTTACCTTTAAAAGTTTATATATTTTCAGAGCAAGAGGACGAGACACCAATGAATATGATGGCCCAGATGATCCAGCATCCAGAACAGCTTCAAGGCTACTGACTAAGATGATCCAGTCCAGTCTCACAGAATACTCCAGTCAGGACTTAACCATAATCCTAAATTTTCTCAGGTTCCCTATAGTATTACCAGCACCCCCAATCAGCCAGAAGTAGCCTAAAAACTACACCTACATACGCCCAAAATGGATTATGGATGTTTGTCTTTGTTTAGGGGGTTTGGTTACAAATTGTTATGGTCATAGCCAATCTCTAAAAGAAGAAAGCAGGATATGTTACAGAAATGATGGGGAAAAGGGTATATTATTATGATGAAAAAAAAGGGGTAGATTATTGAATCTACTTTAATCCAAAAAACAGCTGTTAATCTTACATATTAACACTGGTATGGATTTTAGTTTATTGATAAAAATTTAAAGTTATTTCTGTTACTGTATGTACATTTCTACTTCTGTTTAAGGTATTGTGTTTATACAGCTCAATTAAAAATGTAATGTATAATTAAGAAATACAAATTAATAGTCACCTATAATAGTCAAACTTATAGTCAGGTTAGATATGTTTTCAAGTTATACACAGATATATTTAGATAGGTGGTCTTCAAACACTTCAAAGACCTACAGAATATGACATTTAATATGTTTAATAATCTAAGGCTTTTCATGACAGTGAGATATCTGCTCCTGGCAGCACCGGAGTTTACTTTCTTTGTGGCAAAAGTTAGCCACTGGGCAAGACACTGCCCTTGCCTTGACTGTTGACAGTATGCTGTCCAAATTAGACAAGCAGAACACAAAAGAAGGTGACTGCTGAACTTTGCCAAGACAAAGTAGGACAGTACTTCAAAATTCCTGCTTCACAGATAAGTCTGTCAGATATTCTAGGCCTGCAAGCCGAAGATGGATGCCCCAAAGTTAGAGAGAAACCTTGGGTGACTGTCCAGGCAGCCTAACGTCTGTCATTAGGTAACATTTCATCCTTTTGGGGTCTTTGATGGAGTTGAAGACTAGATAGTCATAGTTATAATTCTTTTAGTTATGATGACAGAGTAAGTTAGAGATAAAGCTTTAGACTCACCAAGATAATATAAGATGGTAATTGAATGTTTTCTCTAATTTTGTCAAATAAAAATAGACTGGATATTATAACTATAATTCTTGCTTGATAACTTTTTTTATATGTAATTTTACTATGTTAAAGTTAAAACCTTCCTTTTTGATTAGACAGAAAGGGGGAAATGCCATGGGATGATCCTTCTATATGCTAGGAATGTGTTACTCTAATTGGTTAATAATAAAGCTGTTTTGGCCAGGCAGGATAAGATTAGGCAGACAAACCAAACTAAGGGGCGGGGGAATGAAAAAGGGCAGGGTCGAGAGTCTTGAGTCAGATGGAAAACAAATCAGACATACAAAATGGGATAGAGGTAAAGGCTATGAGCCTTAGGGCAGTACATGAATTAATAGAAATGGGTTAAGTTGTAAGAGCTAGTTAGTAATAAGCCTGAGCTAATGGCTGAACATTCATAATATAAGTCTCTGTGTGGTAATTTGGGAAGTGGCTGCTGGGTATTTGGGAACAGGTGGGACAAAAAACTCAGCCTCTGTTTACAGCTATGTATTAGCTTAACCTATAAAAATTGATCATATGGGCTGGGCATGGTGGTACATGCTTTTAATCCCAGCACTTGGGAAGCAGAGGCAGGAAGATCTCTTTGAGTTGGAGGCCAGCCTGGTCTACATAGTGAGTGCCAGGACACCCAGGACTACATAGAGACCTAGTCTCAAAAACAACAAACCCATCCCCAAACTAAAAACAAACAAACAAACAAACCAACAAAACATAACAAAAAAATCAAAAACTGATCACATGGGAAATCCAAGGCAAGTACAGTTGGCTTTTACATTGTTCTCTTAAAGGCAGACTAAACAGGCTGAGCACACAGTAGGATAGCAGTCTTAAGTAACCTCAAAGTGTATTGTTAACTCTGGCTTTGAGGTCCAGCAAAAGTTCCAATCTCTTAGAATATATTTTTTATATGCACTGCCACAGTTCCTCCTTTTTGTTTTATTAAAGAAAAAAAACCCAACATGTTGATTTAGGTGGCCACTGGTAAAGAACTGGTCAAGGCATGGTATACTATAGGGATAGCCTGAATCTGTACCACTTAATTTTTCCTTCTGAAAAGTTGGCAAAGGCTTGAAGACTTTGAGAAGGAAGACAAACAGAATGGCTGTACCTGTAAAAGATCACATCTTAAGATTTAGTCCTTGTGTTAGCCAGGGTTCTCTATAGTCAAGAGAGCTTATGGAATGAATCTCACTCTCTCTCAGTCCCACAAAGTTGGATGTTTTAGCTGGTCTTCTGCATATGCTCTAATCCCAGAGAAGTAGGCTCCAATGCCAGTGAAAGAATGGATGGGCTAGCAAGGTGAGGACAAGCAGGCAAAGAGCAAAAGCTTCCTTCTATGTCCTTATATAGACTTCCAGCAGAAGATATGGCTCATACTAAAGGTGTGCCTTCCTACCTCAAGATCTGGATCAGAGGTGTGTTTTCCTACCTCAAAGGTTTGGATGAGAAGTGGATTCATCCACTTCAAACCAAGCAGAAAATCTCTCACAGGTGTGCCCTCCATTTCTGGATTATAGTTCATTCCAGATATAGTTGACAACCAAGAATAGCCATTACAAGTCCATCTCTTGTCAACTTGACACACAATCATATCTCCTTATGTCATGATTAATTTCCAAACGAAAACAACAACCAGGTCATAATAAATGCCTAAACATAACTATCCCACATACAATCACAAATGCATTATATATTTAATCAGGTCATAATTACACCTAACTTGATAGAACTGTCCCTCATACAACCGAAAATACATTATAAATTTAAGAACAGGTGGCAGTGTCCCTTGGGGGGACATCCTATTAGTATTCTCTTAATTGATGTTATGATAAAGAAATTGAAAGAAAACACAAATATCTGTATACATGTTCTTAACAAAATACAGCAGACACTCATGTCAACTATAATTCTTGGTTTTTTTTGCAACTGGTCACATGGCCTTGGCTGGTATTTATAAATACCTTCCTCTACTACCATTCTGTATTTCCTCTACCCTTGGCAAACAAGTCTTGGCTTTTCCCTGGAGGAGTGACCCACACCTTCATTCCTGATGTGTCTGTATCCTGTCATCCTGCCTGGATTAGGCTGCTGTAGTTTCCCATTGACTTTAATCTATTGGCGAAATTATTAAGGTCACTCCATGTAGTTAAAAGGAAGATTTATTTAGTGGATAACTTACAAATGAAGGGATAGGTAGGTCATGGGATCTGGGGAAGGTGTATCGCAGTCCAGCGGTGTTCTCTGGAGCTCTGCTCCGTCAACCTCCACCGTCAAGGGTCCAGGAACAGAGAGAGCGCGCTGGCCCATCCAGATCTCAGGTCTCTTGGCGCCTCCCTTGGCCCTGCCTTGTAGGTGTTGACAGTTGCCGAAGCCTCAGTGGGGGTTGGAACTTCCAGATCAAAGCTGGAATGGCTACCCACTATATTAATCACAGGACATGGTAGCACCAAGAGCTGCCCTAAAGGATCTCCTGCACTCTAGACATAATCTTTTTTATCTCCATTGTGGAGAAGCAATCCATTTTCCCTTTGGTAATCTGGATTAATCATCCCTCCTAACACTGTCATTCCTTTCTTAATCTGTTGGTTTAAGGACATCAGAAGGACAAAGTTGCCAGAGGGAAGCTGAGCTTCCAGTTCAATGGAATGTTTGTTGTGATTCCTGGTAGAAGTACTTTCCCCCCTGGAACCAAAACTTCTAGGCCAGCAGAACTTAAGATCACGGGAACAGGAAGCAAAATTTTTCCTAGTGGGTCCCTAGGGGTAATAGTGAGAGAAACAATTTCCTTTTCCACCTCTTGATTTCTGGATCTGTGGATCCTCGCTATGGGAGAAACTGTACCACATACTGGACGCTGATTCAAAGCATATACCACCTTTTGGAGAACCCTGCCCCAGCCCCTCCAGGCTACTGCCACCTAATTGGCCCTGTAACTTGTCTTCAGACGGCCATTCCATCCATCAAGCCGGCTGCTTCAGGATGGTGGGGAACATGGTAAGACCAGTGGATTCCATGATCGTGGGCCCACTGTTGCATTTATCTGGCTGTGAAGTGAATTCCCTGGTGAAGCAATACTTTGTGGAAGACCATGTCGGTGGATCAGGCATTCTCTAAGTCCACGGTGGTGGTTTTGGCAGAAGCACTATGTGCAGGAAAGACAAATCCATAATGTCTAAGTATCTACTTCAATAAGGACAAAGTGTTGTCTTTCCCACAGAAGAAGTGGTCCAATGTTGTCAACCTGCTACCAGGTTGCTGGCTGGTCATCCTGGGGAATGGTATCATATCTGGGGCTCAGTGTTGGTCTCTGCTCTTGGCTGATCTGGTACTCAGCAGAGGCTGTAACCAGGTCAGCCTTGGTGAGTGGAAGGCCATGTTGTTGAGCCCATGCATAATCCCCATCTCTGCCACCATGGCCAGTTTGTTCATGGGCCCATGACAGGAATGGCTGGGGAAAGAGGCTAACAGTCCACAGAATGGGTTGTGTTTTATCTACTTGATTAATTAACTCCTCCTCAGCTGAAGTCACCTTTTGGTAAGCACTTACATGATGATCCATCTGTCTTCTGCACTGGCCAAATAGAGTTAAAAGGAGATATGGTGGGAACTACCACTCCTGCATCTTTCAAGTCCTTGATGGTGGTACTAATTTCTGCAGTTCCTCCAGGGATGTGATACTGTTTCTGATTCATTATTTTCTTTGGCAGTTGCACCTGCAACTCTAAAGGCTTCACATTTAGCCTTTCTAACCATAATAGCCCTCGCTCCACAGGCCCGGGAACCAACGAGAATTCTGCCAACTTCTAAGTATATCTATCCCAATTATACATTCTGGAACTGAGGAAATAACCACTGGATGAGTTTGGGGACCTACTGTGAGTCAGACTTCAGCCAAAACTCCATTAATCATCTGGCCTCCATAAGCCCCTACTTTAACTGGAGGGCCACAGTGCTTCTTGGGATCTTCTGGAATCAGTGGCAATCCAGCATCCAACAGACCCCAGAAAGTCTGATTGTTTCCTTTCCCCCAGTGTACAGTTACCCTTGTAAAAGGCCACAGGTCCCTCTGGATAAGAGCTGGAGAAAGACTTAACTATAAAACTTTTAGGTATCTTATCAGGGTCCTTCCTCAGGGGAAGTTGCCCACCCCTTCATTCAAGAGGTTCTGGGTCTGTAAACTGGCTCAAGGTGGAAATTGATTCACTAGCCAAGACTGCCTTTTGTCAAGATCCAATGCAGCCTTTCTTTCACTTGAGAATTTTTCTGCTTATCCAGATCAAACAGAAATACAGTAGGCTTCTCATTGACTGGATGCCTGGAAACACCATGATTGATTAGCCAGTACCAAAGGTTCATATGAGTCATGCCAAAATAAAATTCACTTTGCCTGGTTAGTCTAGTATGAGACCTGTTTTGTGCCTCAGGTAATTCAGTGCTGCCACCTGGCCCCTGCTATCTGGGGGCTCAATTAAACCCATTGCATTTAATTCATCCAATTGAGCAGCAGCATCTCCAACCCTCAGGTTTGGCACAAGGAGAAGGGCGACAACAAAGCTCTTCAAATGTGCGGGTGCCCCTCTCACCAGTTTGCGTCTTATGGGATTAGTGAAGGGCATGTCTTCTGGACCTTCCCATTGAGGAGGATTAGGTTTTACACAGTATATCCACTCTAGCATAGCAATTTCCCTGAGCCTTAAAATTCCTTCATCAACACTAAACCAAAGGACATCAGGCATCTCCAACTCCTTTTCAGTAGGCCATCTTTTGATAAACGCTTCAGCCAACCATTCAAACAGACTTTTGACACCTCTTTTAACTGTGCGAGCGTCCATATTAAACCTAGAATCTCTACTTAGAGGGCCCATATCAATAAATGCAGCCTGATCTAGTTTTATGTTCCTTCCACCATTATCCCACACCCTTAAAACCCATTCCCACACATATTCTCCAGACTTCTGCTTGAATGAATTAGCAAACTCATTCAGCTCTTTAGTAGTGTAGTGCACCTCCTCATGGACTACACTTTCTATCTCCCCTTGAGGAGTCTGCTTTGCTTTAGGTCCAGTTAAAAGTCTAGAGCCAACTATTGGTGGGCCTTGAGGGACAGCAACATTGTCGTGCCTGGCATTTTCTTCAGAGAAAGTCACTGCTGGTTTATCAGACAATGAAGGATTAATTTCCTCAATGAAAGGTGAAATAGGCAGTATTTCAAGGGGTGGGGCTGAGGGTACTATTTCCTCTGGTGAGATAAACCCTTGAGAATCTGAGAGTTCAAAGTTCTCAGCTTCAACAGGGTCCTCCCACACATCCCCATCCCAAGTTACAGGATCCCATTCTTTACCAATTAATGCCCTTACTTTAACTGCTGACACCCTCTGAGGCTGAGACTTGAATTTTCGCTGTAGTTCAGCCAACCTTATAATGAGGGCTTCAGTTTGATTTTCTACAACTTGAGCTCTGTGGCTGCTGGAGAGAAGATTCTCTTCCAAGGTACACTTAGAAACCTTTAAACAGTTTACTTGCATCTGGAGCTGGTCAATTTTATCACTAAGTTTTTTGTTGTCCTTCACCGTATTCTGAAGTTGATTAATTTTACCACGGAGCTCATTCCTATCCTTTATTAATTTATCCAGAGATGCTAAGAGCAACCAACCAGCAGCATCATTTTCCTTGTTTTCCCCCAAACTGTCAAAAGTTTCATATACAGAGTCATCACATCCATTGCCACTTACAATTGGTGAATCAGGATAATCAAATGCATCTAACTCTTTAAGTTTGTAATATAATTCACACCACGGGCTTTCAGCATTCTCCAAGCTCCCAGGAGAGGAAGTGACTGTAGCTGAAGGTTCTGATGAATTGAAAAGCCTATTCCAGATACTTAAAAGATTCATCTTTATATGTCTGTTTCTCTAGAACCACTTCTGGTACCAAAATCTGTATTAGTTAGGGTTCTTTAGAGTCAAAGAACTTATGGAATGAATCTGTCTCATGGAGTGACTTAGAACCTGCAGTCCAGCTACTCCCAACAATGACTAGCTGTGAAGGAAAAGTCCAAGAATTCAGCAGTTGCTCAGTCCCACAGGGTTGGATGTTTCACCTGGTCTTCTGCATATGCTGTAATCCCGAAGAAGTAGGCGCCAATGCCAGTGAAAGAATGGTTGGGCTAGCAAGGTGAGGACAAGCAGGCAAAGAGCAAAAGCTTCCTTCTTCTATGTCCTTATATAGGCTTCCAACAGAAGGTATGGACAATATTAAAGGTGTGCTTTCCTGCCTCAAGACCCAGATCAAAGGTCTGGACAAGAAGTAGATTCATCCACTTCAAACCAAGTAGAAAATCTCTCACAGATGTGCCCTCCATTTTTAGATTGTAGTTCATTCCAAATATAGTCAAGTTGACAACCAAGAATAGCCATCCCAGTCCTGAAAACCATAGAAGGGTTCAGTCAGTTATCAAACACCATTTTAAAATATTTATTCTGAAAATAGGAATTTACAGTTGCTCTAGTTTGGCTGGAAGGAGTTAAAGCCCCTGAAGCAGTTGCAGTGGAAACTGTGGCAGCTATGATAGCTGCCATAATCATTCCAATGAATCTTTTCATATGTATATGTTCTGGTGCATAACTAAATTGTTTTAAAGCAGATCCCCCATGCCACAGGCCAATCATACAGGAATCCAGGCACCAATTATTTGTCTAAGATTTTAAAAATCTTAAAATCACCATTTAATTTAAAATCACAATGTAATAAGAGGAAGTTTGGTGAGTGGGGTAAGAATTAGAAGAAGTGCACGCCACTTTTCTTATGAGGACACTGATCACTGGCTAAAGAGTTAGGTCCATACCAGTATAATCTCATCTGAACTTGATCTACAGTATTCCAAATGAGTTCACATGTACATCTAGGGGTTAGGATGTGAATATATCTATCTGGAGATGTATTTCAACATACAACAGGGAGAAACAGACTTCCTTATCTAACAAGGTCTTATTGGCTTTAATTTGGTAAAGTGGAAGATGGGGAATGCTGGTTTTGTGTGCTTGTTTTTTTTTTTTT